TTGTAGTGATACAAGCAAAGGTCCAGAATTTCGTAGGTAAATGAGCATTTTGCAAAAGGGTGATTGCAATTTCAACAATATGTTTATGTTTTCTTTCGGCCAAACCGTTTTGCTCAGGTGTATAAGGGTAGGACTTATGATGGGATATACCATGGGCAACAAGAAATGACTGTAATGATTTGCCAATATAATTTTGATTTTTGTAGAAAACTGAGTTAACACTGAATTGTAAAACGAGACAAAGATGGAAGAAAGATCTGATTTATGTATTAAGGGAAAAAGCCAGGAAAATCTGGTGCAATCATCAACAAATATGACATAGTATTTGAAACCATCAATTGATGTACATGGTGCAGGTCCCCACAAATCCCTATGAACAATTTAAAAAAATATAGCAAACCTAGAGGAGACAGGACAAAAGGGAAGTTTACTAAACTTACCCTTTAAACAACTTTGACAAACAATAGGGTTCACATCTTTTACAACAGTAACATTGGATTTACTAAGCATAAGATGTACTATAGAGTTGGAAGGATGACCTAAACGAATGTGCCAAATTGTAGTCTTGACAGTGTGTCCAAGGCATGCAATTGTTGGATAAGCTTGTTTCTGAGTTGTAGGAGAAAGAACAGGAATGAATGGTATAGGGTATAGTCCATTATTGCATAGTCCTTTATATATGAGTCTCCCTGTGGCCTTGTCCTGAATCTAAAAACAAAATGCATCAAATATAAGCCAACAATTGTTGTCCAAGCAAATTCGGTGAACTGACAGCAAGTTATGAGTAATTATGGGAACATAAAGAATAGAATTTAATTTGGTTGATTGCACATGAGTTTTGAGAATGGAATGCTCAAAATGAGTGATTGATAAACCTTCACCATTTGTTGTTTGCACTGTTTCATTATGAGGATATGGAGAAGCCATGGACAAATTATGCAAATCATTAGTCATATGATTGGTAGCACCAGAATCTGTCAACCATACTTGTGGTGAAGCTAAATTTGATGAAGAGGATGGCATAGATGGCATATTATAAGAAGATGAAGCATTCATAGAAACTGGCACCTGAGAAGATGGCATATTCATCATAGACGACACATTATTCATCACAGGAAGCATAGTATGCATAAAATGAGGATATTGCATTAAACCAGGATAAATTGCATTCATGGCAGTCATTTGGGATCCAGAAGTCTTGGCTTTATTTCTATAGAAACATGTCTTGGCAGTGTGATTGTTTCTATCACAAATCTGACAAGACTCAGAAGGTTCAACATCTTTATAAGCACAATTGATAGCTGAATGACCTTGTTGAGAACACAATTGACAAACAATACTGGAAGATGAGGCAACATTATTGAGCTGAGAAGGATTTACAAGAATACCAGGAATGTAATCATGAACAATAGGTTTGGAATGGTAGGACCTCTGGCCTTGATTATTATAATATCTATTGCCCTGATTGTTACTCGATTTCCCCTTGCTTTTGTATTTGGAACGATTGCCACCATTGAAGAAATTAGACTGCCAAGATTTCCCACTGTGATAACTAGAATTACAATTGTGATTCCCATTAGTAAAACCATTACTGCCATTTTGGAACCTAGAATTATCATTGTAATTTTGATTATGAGCCATCAAAGCAGTGGGAAAATTAACAGAAGAATTACTCTTAAGAGTTGCTTCCTCAGCAAGCAATTGAGCACGAAACTCCTTAAGAGAAATCACACTTTCACGACCACGAATAACACACCGAAACATGTTATATTCAGCTAGAAGACCATTTAAGCCAAGATAAGAATATCCTCATCAACAAAAGTAACCACTGTTGCAGAAAGATAATCTCTAGTCTCTTTGATGCACTGAAGATATTGACTCACAGAATCAACCCCTTTCTTGATAGTTTGTAAGTCAGACTTCATTTGGAAAATGGAAGTCTTTGTAATTGTAGATAATTGTTCCTAAAGACACACCCATAAATCTCTTACACTAGTGCTCCCAATTGCACAAGAAATTGCAAGCGGAGACAAAGTAGTAATGATAAGTTGCATTAATGCTCTATCATGCATCTTCCAAACCTTATACTCATCATATTCAACTCTGGAATTGGAACCAGTGGATACAACCTCTGAATCTGCAGAACTTGAAGAAGCAAACTGAGAGGGGCAAGGATGTGATCCATCCACAAAATTCATAATGCCATACCCATCAAGCACCAATTTCATCTGAAAATGCCATTGAAGATAGTTGGTATCATCCAACTTAATAGAAACAGATGGAGAAACCGATGAAATCAATCCAATAATTAGGGATTGTAAAATTTGCTATTGACTCGCTGTAACCATGTTGATGAACTTTTGTTGAGACCTAACAACAAACACTTGGTGTGCAGAAATTCGAAGAAAGAGAGAAGAGAATAATGGGTAGTTGGCCAAAACCTAAATCAACCGAAACAGTCACAAAGAAGAGAAATTAGGTAGCGGAAGCAAGAAACCCAGATCGAAGAAGCTTGCGGTTAAGCTAATTCGGCGAGTGATACCATGTAAACCATAGTGCAGAAATGAAGAACACAGTTTGTAGAGAAAACAAGAAAACTTAGAGAAGAAGATAAGACAGCTTAGAGAGAGCTAGAGAGATCTCTTAGAGAGAGAAACATAAATCTTTGTATATTTTTACTTAGTGACAATAATCTATACAATCCTGCATATATAGGGAGATGTTATTACAACCATATCTTCTAACAACATCCTTATCTAATCTTAACAAACTAATTTCCTTTCTTGTAGATTGCCAAGTGTCACAATCTTAAGCATTCATTTATATACTCTAACAATGTTTCCTCTTCCAATCCCCAAAAGAAAGCAAACATTTTGACTTTAGTAGTCAACTTGAGTTCCAAAATTTTGACATATATTGATCTATATGTTGTGGTTTATAATCAATCTGGAGATTTGTAGCATATTGAATAGTGAATTGACTAGTTGGGGGAAGGTCCCGTCTATCCAACAGTCTTTTATTTTTTTCATCATTCTCTCTCATTGTTCCTTTCCATATCCTATCTTCTTACTTGAAGAAATGGTAATAGAAAACAAATGTGATATAAATTGGATGTTAAGTTTTCTTTTTATTAAACATTATATATGAAATTGGATGCTTACAGAGATGGCTGCATTAATTTAGCAAACTAACATAATTAGTCGATATTTACAGAGAAGATGTATGGTTTTGAATTCCTAATATTATAAGAGATATCAAATATATGAAGCTCTTAATTTGTGTTAATTAGAGAAAAATAAGAAAAAGTTGGTTAGAGCAAATCCACCCCAAACAGGTAGGTCGGTTCACAGCCCACAAAATGGCCCAGCACTCACAAAAAGTGCTCTAGCCTAGCCTAATAGGCTGGTACCCAGCCCAAGCCATCCTATAGGGCGGCCTAGAATGTGTTGAACCAAGGTCAGGCCTATGTGACGTTATGATGATGCCAGTGTGACATCACAGGTCGTTTTAATTTTTTTTTTTTGCGCCAAGGTGTGGGAAACACGTGCAAGTGGGCACCGTTCTTGACAAGAAACAGGGGGCGAGGCCCACATGCGCAGGCGCACCACCGGTTCTGATGGGAGGCCACGTGGCTCATTATGGGTAGTTGGATCCAGAGATCAACGGTCCACGTTCTTCGTCCCAAAAATTAAAAAAAAATGCACAATGGTCAGAATTATGACCGTTGGACACGTTAATTCACTAAATTAAATTAATAAAAAATTAACAAAATTATTAAAAATTGTTAAAAAATACAGAACCATCATCTTCCACCTTAAAACTATTTTTTCTATAGTACTTTCAGATAATGACATGCGGCGTGACATAATTGGTTAAAACTAAATTTAAAATTTATTATTTTATAAAAAATTAATAATATTTTAAGTGGGCTGGGTGCCAGTGCATTTTGTAGGAGTGGAGATTGTTTGTACCAGGGCATTTTTTAGAGAAGCATTTGGCCAATTTATTGTTCATAGGTTCTATCACTGTTTACCGAGTGGATTAAATGGGTCGAGTACCAGCGTATTTTTTAAGATTGGAATTGCTCTTAACAAAAAAAAAGGAAAGCAAAAGCTAAAGCAAATATACAAATAAAGCACTGTCGGAGCTGGATCTGTGAAATGTAATGCCAAAAGTGATGGCTTAAAAGATATTGCTCAAGTGATCAATGGCTTTTGGCCTTTACTATGATAGATAGTGATATGAATTCACGAGATAGTGACATGAATTCACGAGATCACCTTACTGTTATAAGCGTGGCCGGGGATCACTTCGAATTCTTGCGTAATGTTATGCTAATCAAGTAAGATTCTGACCTGAATTCCCATAATAACTGTTATACGTATTGAGAGTATGAATTTCATATTATCTATTAGTTTAAGGTGAGTTTATACTATCAATTATTTTCAACATGTAAGAAAGGTAGAGATGAAAAATATCATGTCGAAGGAAAATTTCAATTTTCCGTAGGTATCATTTAAGAAAAATCGAAATAGCAAATACAGAAGTGATATTTTTAATTTTCTATATATAATTTTCTAACTGATTATTTATTAAGTCTCCTGATGAGAAATGAAGAGATAAGATATAACCCAAGGCAATTATTTTGACTTACAAATTTCATGTAACAACACGTCATGCTAGAGAGACCAAATGTAAACCGCAAATGACATAACGAATGATGGTTTGATTCATTCTTTAAATAATTAAAAAAAAGTCAATCTACAAAAAGATGGTCTACAATTTGGTCTCTCTAACATTTTTGTGTAACAACACATTAACCAAATCGGAAGTTGGTTAGTTATTCGTTTTCTTTTGTCCTCTATATTTATCTTATTAATTCCAACTGTATTAAATCCCTCTCCTTTTCAAGGCAGCTCGTAGCTAGGGAAGAAAACAGTAGCATGCCTTTATCTTTCTATAAATAAGGCAAATCTCATGTCCCATTTGTATTAACATCCATCAACCTTCTCAAGTCTACCTACAATATTTGAGACATTTCATAAATATGGAAAACAAAATGGGGTACAACATTAAGCTTGTGTTGTGCATCTGCTCCTTGGCATTAATCTTAGCTCGTGTCTCCTCAGCCGCTTCCAGAAGAGATATCAGAGGCTTCATCAATGAACACAACAAAGCTCGGGCGGAGGTCGGTGTTGGTCCGATCAAATGGAACGCGACCATAGCAAGGTATGCACAAAACTATGCCAATGTAAGATCTTGGGACTGTGCAATGGAGCACTCAATGGGGCCTTATGGTGAGAACATAGCCTCAGGCGAAGGCATGACGGGTGCAGCTGCTGTCAAGTATTGGGTTACCGAAAAGGAGTTCTATGACTACAACCAAAACAAATGTATTAACGACGAATGTGGTCACTATCTTGCTGTGATTTGGAGCAAATCAACCTATGCTGGTTGTGCCACGTCATTGTGCACGAATGGACAAACCTTTGTGATTTGTGATTATGATCCTTCTGTAACAGATGGGGAGCGCCCTTACTAAATAAATAAAACTTACACTGTAATCTTGTGCCTTTAGCACTTGTTCACTCGTCATAGGTCATGTAATGAGTGCGTTAAAGACAAGAGTATTATATAGCACCATTTACGAATGAGCTTTTCTCGTATGTACTAGACATGACCATGTTTTGGTCTCGGATCTAGTATTTTGTTCTTTTAAATAAAAAATTAGAAATAAAAGGGAATGTGAGGTACATGTATATTGTAATCGTGTGTGCAAATACGCCTTCACTTTACGACATTCCATTGCAATGGATTTTATAATTTGTTAAAGACTCTTCTTCTCCTTCAAAATTCTTCGAATCTCATACTGGAGCTGTGGCCAGACACTTTCTTTCCTAATTTTTAAATTTTCTTTTTTAAAAAAACGTCATTGACAAATAAATTTGTTTTTTATTTTCTTCACACATATCAGCATGACTAATTTTCAAAGGAATTGTGTTTGGACTGGAACTTAACTCTCTAGCTTGGTATTGTATTTCACATACCATGGTGAGTCAATATCTCAGCAAATTTTCTGAAAAAAAAAAATGCCAGCAAATGCATCTGCAAGATCTTATCTGAATGACCTTATTTGAAACATTTGTAGGATAATATAAGTAATTATAATTATAATACACATGTGAAATCATTTAATTAGATAAACCAAGATGTTCATCCTTATATGAGGAATTATACTAATATGAGGCTATGAATGATTATTCACCTTAACTTTCGATATGATATTCCAGAGAGTGGATATCATATAATCCCGTATATGAAGAATTATGGCTAATACGCTATTTAGTTTGCAGTTACTTATAACATGTATATTTAAGAGCAATAACGAGTAAATGTGTGGACAAAAATTATATACGCATAGTCAAGGCTAAACATAATAAAATGACTTGTCATTCATTTATATGCATGCTTCGCAAGAGGTTAAATGCAATTGTCGAGGGGGATGTGCTTAAGCCCGTAAGGAAGTCACCTAGGGAAGAAACTCAATTTCTTTAATTGGAGATACCATGAAGGAAGTTCAATATGGTATAAACATTCCATACTACATGACTCATTATAGCATTCATATTGTTTATACCATATTTAGGGCCTCGTATTTAGATCTCGTATAAATATTTTGGGGACTTAAATGTAATTATGTGATAAAGGAAGGGGCAAATATGTAATAAGTGAGGAGTCCTTATTCTATAAAAGGACCCCTCACCCTCACAATTTGGGGTAGCCATTTCAAAGGCCAATTCCTAGGCCCTCTCACCCCCTCTCAAGGCTCTCACTCTCAGAGCTCTCTCTCCCTCAAATAAATACATAATCAGTGTGGACGTAGCCCAAACCTTGGGATGAACCACGATACATCTTGTTATTTACTTTCTTGCAGATTCACGGTTGGATTTACGTTGTTCCAAGACCTCCGGTTTTGTGCATCAACACATATTAAAGTGAAGATATCCATGAGATATTGAGACCAAAGGTCTTGAGTGACCTATCTACAAAACAACTCAAAAGATAAAGAAATATCTTCTTCTACTCATCCTTAGTGCTATTTTATGAGGCGTTAGGAAGGGTATTAACATTGAATGAGTTTCGAGGCTAGCAATCTCCCACAAGGTACAGGTCACATGTACTATTGGAGAACTCACTTAAGTAAGAGTAATCATGAGGCCGTGACTATGAGGATTGGGCTGTTCTCAAAGAACTCTCATGAGAATCAAGATTAAGAGCAAGCCACAAATAACGTTATCCTGCGCCAAGTTTTTTTAACAGTGCCATGTGTGTGACATTTAGTATTTTGGTCAAAAAGGGTCTAGTTCAAGACATAGTTCATTGTGATTCCTTCAGATGAAAGTTGTTAACACTAAATTTAGGTTCGAGTCCAGAAGAAAGTTACACCCATTCCATGGTATACAAGTTGTCCAAATTTCTTCCATTCATATCTATATGTTTACGTCTTCTAAATTGTTATAGAGTTTTGAATCTTGTGGAGAATTGTTGGTTATTTAATTTATTTTACTTAAGACTCAAAACTTTATTTACTATTTTCTAAAATAATAAATATGAAGAGCCATGTCTATTGGGATAAGTCACAACTTTTACAAAAGAGAGTACAGAGCTTTATAAATAAGGAATTCCTCCAACATAAAATAGACGTTCATTACTTTCCTTCTTACCTAAATCTATATTCCCTATGATCCTACGGAACTCCTCAAACATAAAAAAGATTTCATTACTTTCCTTCTCTCCGACATCTACATTCCCTATATCCATCTACTTATCTTCATCATCAATAGGCAATTGATTACTACGTGGCACCCTATCTACCGTACTAGTGCATATAGATCAAACACTCTGTGAGATTCAAGGGTTGTATTTTAATGTATATGGTCTTTATAACTTGCACATAGAGAGACGTCACAGTGACAACACACCTCTCTTGATATCTCAGGCCAGATTATTCCTTACTCTTTTTCTATTTACTGCTTTGTTTATTGGTATATGTATTTGATGTTTATGGGTTTATCTAATTGAATGTCTTTACATGTGTAGTATGATTATAATTAATTGTATTAACATATAGTTTGTGCCATTGGGGTTGCTCAATTTTAGTAGAGAAATATTAAGGAGACTCCCAAAAGTGAGGCTCCCCATGAATTCTCTGTCAACTTACAATTTAACATCAACTGATGTGCCAACATTAATAAAACATTGTACCAAAAACATGTGGTAGTAGAGAGTCCGTAGAGTCTCACTTTTAAGAGAGTCTCTTTAGCATTTCTTTTTTTATTATAGTGAAAATTTTAATTACTAATCTTCTTGATGTGCACGACTGTAAGTAAATGTTAAACTTTTTTATGCATGTGGTGGATTGTCCTAGTAGTTAGAGACTTTTTCTTTAACTCATTGTGTCCTAGGTTCAGATTTTCACTCTCTCACTTAGTGTAGATTAGTATTTTGTACTAAAAAAAGTTAATCCTCTCATAGAGGGCCAGATGTACTTTGGGACCAAGGTGGTCCCAGGACCAATGGAGAGTCAGGGACATAATAATGTGAAGGTCTTTTGAGGATCCTCCAAATGTTTGGTACGGGTCATTTTTGTGCCTACTAAGTGTTTGATGTAAGCCTATTAGGCATATCTTGACACGTCGCGTTGACAACACTAGACAAATTATCTCAACATCACTCATTAGATTGCTTCAGCATATGTCAAGATCTGTTGACATGTGCACAACATGGCTTGACTGATGAGAAAAAGTTCACCAATTGTTCATCAAAATGATTAAGTGATTAAACTGAATTTTTTTTCCCTTCGCACTTTGTTTTTACTTAAAAAAACTTGAACCTTTAATTCTGTGACCACAAAATTTGAAGCCTAAATTAGCCATATATATATATATATATCACTGAATTGACATGTAATCATGTAAATTTAGCCGTTGTATGTAAATAACTCTAAAAGTAGGGTTTTGTTTCATCAGTTCGGCGAAAGGTTTCTTTTTTTTTTTGTTTTTTTTGTGTTTTTTTGGGTAATAGGGAATTTTCATAACTAACAATTACAAAGAAGTCACTACATAGTATTATGGTCTAGTGGTATTTCTGTTCACTTGTAAGTGAGAAGTCTTAGGTTCGATTCTCGCAAGCGAATTACAACCACACTACTGCTAGCCCATTGTGAGACTAAGTCCCCTCCATTCCCCTTAGTGTAGAAAATATCGTTTGTTCAAAAAAAAAAAACAACAACAACAATTACAAAGAAAGTCAAGGAGTCGTGTGAGAACGTACAACTTTGTTGGTCATGCAAATAAATCTCCATATTCACCGCTACTATAAATACTCCACAGTACCATATATAACATCTAATTTTCCCATTCACCGCTATTAGACAATGGTGATTGATACCCATGCAGCCAGATTTTATGTTTCCTCTTTCCATGAGATTCTCTATTAAGCCTAATCCCTTAAATTGAGGAAGATTGACATCTAGATGATTTTTTGATAGTTGTGTGCTAGCTACTTGCTGCACTCCCTTAATTTAAGGAGTGACAGCTTTAGGGGTTTACCGGGTTAGTAGGATTTGCCAAGGTAGGGTTGCTTGTAACCTTCTACCTTATTGTATATCCCCTCTTGTACATTCAATCAATCTATGAAAAATACATTCAAACAAACTTAAAACTTCCACATGGTATCAGAGCAATGTCATCCTTGACTTGTCTCTGCCCATTTTTTTTCCGCTGTTGTTCATCTTCAAGCTCCAGTTATGGCTGAAGAAAGTTTAGTAAACCTTGGGGGAGAAAACTCACAAAGTTCTCCCTCTTTTGTTCCCGATGCTAAGATAAATACGAACCAGCGTTTATGCTCAGTTTTGTTGAATGAATTCACCTATCTTTCATGGTCTAGAGTAGTGTCTCTTGCTCTCGGTGAAGAGGAAAGCTAGGGTTCATCAATGGAGTGGTTGAAGCACCCGAGCTCTCTACCCAAACATACGAAGCATGGTTGTGCAAGGACCAACAAGTCATGTCAATGCTTCTCAACTCAATGGAGAAACATATCGCTGAAATCTTTAGCTATTTTGAGTCCTCACATGATTTGTGGAAATTTGCGAAGGACATGTACTGGAATCAAAATAACTATGCACAAGTGTTTCAGCTAAAGAGGGACATTGCCAATCTTCAACAAGATGAAAAAAATTCTTTGTGCAGCACCTGGGAAGTCTCAAGACTATGTGGAATGAGTTAGATGTTTATCTACCTCACACTATTGATGCTATAGTTCTTCTAAAAAGAGCTGAAGAAGACAAGATATATCAGCTGTTTGAGAGTTTGAACTCAGACTACAAGGATCTCAGGAGTCACGTCCTGATGAATGTCGAACTTCATTCCTTCAAAATAGTGTGTGCCACGATTCAACATGATGAAACTCGATGAAGGGTGATGAACTTGGAGAAGAATTCCAAGATTTCTGAGTCAAAAGTCTATGCTGCCAAACAGTAGGACCTACAAGGGTAAAAATCCACACTTAAAGTGCAGTTACTGTGACGTTGTAGGTTACGTGGAGGAAACGTGCTGGATTTTGCACCCCGAACTGAAACCTAAGTTTAATAAGGATCACAAAATGATTCCTTCAAGGCAGTTCCACACTGGCTTATACAAACCTCAACATGCAGCAAATCACAGCTATACCTCATTTCCTGAAAGCATTCAAG